ATGGACTAGATCAGGGGTGGGCAAAATATGCCTGCAGGCTTTATCTGGCCCACCAAGCTACTGGCTCTGCTCTGCAGCCCAGTGGGAGCCCCATCCGACAGGTGCCCTGCCTACTCCTGCCCTGCATGATGCTCAGAGCAGCTGGCGGCAGAGGCCATGTGTCTTTCTCTGAACACTGTGAACCTGGGGCGAGGGGCTTCACTGCACTCATCCCCTACACAATCTTGCAGCTGCCACTGGAAACTGCCTGTTTGCAGGACAGGTAGTGCATAAAGTGTTCCCCCACCCCAGCTCCCAGCTTTCTGAGAAGCACATGGCCTCTCCAGCCAGCTGCTCTGAGCAGCCTGTCTGAGGAACTTGCTGGGCTGCTGGTTGGGAGTTGCCCGGGCATGTGCCTTCTGGCCACAGCCTGCCTCTGGCACCCCAGCCTGTGCCTACCCTCTTGCTCCACTACTCCCTCACATACTCTGCACCCCAATCGCCTGTATATTTGTTCTGGGTCACAAACCCCTCCCAGACTCTGCACCTCCTGCTACATCCCTCGGCCAGGTCAGAATTCTCTCCAGTATCCATACCTTCTCCTGACCCAGATCACAATCCCCTCCTGCATCCCAATACCTTACCCCAAGTTCCTTCTGCACCCAGATCCTGCACCTTCTCCATTAATATCATGGAAGAGCGCTGCCCTTGCCAACTTACCAAATTCTGGGAGTGTTCCCCCCACCCCCCATCAAAAATTATTGTCTGCCTCTGGTTTAGATAATACTTGATCCTGCCCTGATCACAGAGGACTGGACGACAGGATCTTTTGAGGTCCCTTACAGTCTTACTCTATGATTTACCCTATTAATTACTTATTATTCCATTTTGCTCCAGTGAAATAGAAGGCATCTTTTGGTAGCTATTCTATATACTGTATTCCTCTTTTATTCAGTAGATCCAGCCTTACTGGCATGCTTACCTGGTAACTGGTTAACGAGCGGGGAGCACAGTCCCCTCTCCTGCTGTGGTCAGGTGGAGCAACCGCTCCCCCCCTCCCACCTAGCACTTAGTGGGACCCCAGCTGGCTGGAGTTGCCCCATGGTGCAGCAGCCCCACCCTCCACGGCGTGGGCTGTCCAGACCCCAATTAACTGGTTAAACAGTTAAAATCATATAATTTAACTGATTAACTTTGAAAAGGGTATTTATATGCCTAGTTTCAACAGGACTGGACTCATAATTAGTTATTCTGTCTGTTTGTGGATCCTATATTATAATTCATGTAAAAATTAATAGGTTTCAGGTTACAAATCGAAACAATTTTCTAAGATGTTTCTTAAACTCAGACTTCACACTTGAATTAATTGTTCTCCTTTCCCTTCTTGGAAACACAGGAATTCTTTCCTATAGATGCTGTGTTGAAAAGCAGCAAGCTCTGGTACAGTATGAAACTGCCTGACCCTGTCAGCAGCTGGTACTAGTAATTTATTGCCATGTTTCAAAAAGGTTTTACCCTGGTCTCAAATTTGGGCCTGCAGATTTTGTGCACACTAGTTTTGGAGATTACTGCTTGTGGCACACATACGTTTGCTCCCACAAAAGCAAAGCAGTACAGCTGCAAATGGCATTTTTCCCCAAGAAAATCACAGACATCTAATTACCTGATTTGCATGCAAAAGAGCTACTTGCATTCACAGCTCTGAAATCTGGAGCACACAACGCTGTGCGCCCAAAATCTTGCACATGTGACTGTAGAAGAGGCTGAATGAAACTGTCTTTTTGCTTTTATTCTGGGGTGCAAAAATAGTGTCCTCGTGGAATGTTTCACCACTTCCTCCTCCTGCCTCAAAGAACAGAAGTGCTGGGGGGAAAATATTCCTGAGCTTAGAGGCAAGAAAAGTGAACAATAGAGGCCAGCATGATGCCTTAGAAGCACTTCAGGGAATTGACATATCCTAATATGTAAACTTCATGTATAAAGTCAGAGCTGAAATTTCTGTTTCATGAAGGGTAATTTGCAGACTTCATTCACTTTGCAAAAATGAGGCATTAAAAGAAAAATAGGCAGTTGGTGGGTTGGTGGTAGTAAGTCAGTGCTAGCCTGCTGTTGCCAACATGTCTCGTCAAAGTACTCAGACTGATTGATGTTAAGGGCTAGAGAGAGAGAGATTCAGACAGGACATATATGGAGTACAAAAAGCTGCTGAGTGTTGTGCAGCTTCCTGACTTCATTTTTAGCTAATATTTTAATAGGCTGTAATATGATGGTTCCTGGGGGCACCGCAGAGAGAGTCAATTCAGAGCAAATTGCTTAGAAACAGGGCTACTTGCAGCCCAAGACTGGGGGTCCTTCACTATAAGGCACCAAACCAGTCAAAAAGACCAGTTTTATTTGCCATACTGCTGAGTGTTGTGCAGCTTCCTGACTTCATTTTTAGCTAATATTTTAATAGGCTGTAATATGATGGTTCCTGGGGGCACCGCAGAGAGAGTCAATTCAGAGCAAATTGCTTAGAAACAGGGCTACTTGCAGCCCAAGACTGGGGGTCCTTCACTATAAGGCACCAAACCAGTCAAAAAGACCAGTTTTATTTGCCATA